ACAAATGACGGAAGTAAACCCTCCAGTCTAAACAAAACTCATCAAGGAATCCCTAACGTGTTATTAAATTTAAAATAAAATACCTGGAGAACACTGAATTCCTAGGTTAAAAACCATCTTTGTTTAAAGAATATTAAAAACAATAACAACAAAAAGCGCACCATATGCTTTCAAAATGACAATGGAAACATTTGTTTATCTCAGCCAGAGCCATTTCATCAGACTGTTCAGATCCACAGAGCGGAATCCACCCTGAAGCAGAAGGGCTGCCTGGGCTGAGCGCACATCTGGCAGCTCCAGCCCTCTGTGCAGCTTTCTCGGGCAGGAAATGCTGCCCTGAGACAGCTGCAGGGCTCTCTTCCAGCTCCTCCCAGCTCCTGCTGGCTGCTCACCCCGCGCTGAATGAGCAGTGGCCAGGGTCCCGGCCCAGGGGTGGCGGGCACACCTCACTCAGGGCCAGCCTCCACCTCTCCATCTCCCCAAAACGCTTAAAAATGTAGCTTGCGGTGTTGTCATCTCTGGGCAAAGGCTAGAAGGCAGTGACCACCTCGGTTTGAACCAGATTTGATGTGAGTTCAACAGTGAGTCATTAGCTCTTTTCTCACATCTCTGTTTCCTCTAGGAAAAATGATCTGTCATTCTTTCATATCTTTATATGGAAGATTCTGTGACCGGGTTACATCAGCATCTTTCTACCAGAGAAGTCAGAATTTAAAGACTGCAGCTCCCAATGTGGGCCACAGGAGGCGCTGTGGAGACGTGGAGGCTCCAAATTCCCTGAGCTGGTCCAGGGGTCTTGCCATGACCTCCAAGCTCTCAGCAGCCTGGGCTCTAGGTGAAGTGGGAGTGGGGAGGTCAGTCTGATTGCCTATTATAAACACTTCTCCTTGAGGTTTTTCTCTAGTCTAACAAGAAAATGGAAATTCTGAAGGAGAATGGAGCTTAAATACAAATAAAACAAAAGGAATAATTACTGTTTGGTCTGCTGGGTATTAAAAGCCATTCTAGACAGCAAAGGCTTGAATTCTATCTTTGACCTGCTTCTGCCTCCCCTCTGGCTCTGTCTCAGTCTCAGTCTCTGTGTCTCACACACCCACATCCACACACACACACAACCTTAAAGACTAAAACAGGAACACTGCATAAAGCAAGAATGCTGCTCTTTTCTGCTAATATTTTCCTTCATTGGACAGTTGGCCAATAAGCCAGCAATCTGTATGTTGAACAGCATAATCTGTTCATGAATAGATTGCTCAGTCAGATTCCCCAAATCCATAGTGGCACTAACATTCCTCCTACTCTCCACAGCTTCACGAGGAAGTTACAGGGGGAATAGAAAAGGAAATCTCTGGGTATTAAATATTCAGTATGCATGTGATACAATTACGAAGGAAATCTCGCCATCAGTTTTCAGAATATTTCACCTAGTTCACTACAACAAGAAACCAACCTGATTATTAATTTTCTTCAGCCACCTAGGTTGGAGATTCCACTCTTCCATAACACAATCTGCTTATTTTACTTGGAAAGAATATCCAAGATAATTCCTTACTTCTCTCTTCTGTATTCTAACATCACACTGCTGCTCACTGACACTCCTCATGGAGGAAAGATCACACCTAATGAATAGGAAGTCTTTGTGTCTTGAAGTTAGGTACTTTAAGGTCACAATAATAAAGTTTATGCCATACAAAATGGCAGAACCCATACTCCTTAATTAAAATAACAATACCCTCCTATGCTTTCATTTAATATCCTTTGATCATAAAGATACCTTATTTTTGTGATTACTTTCAAAATAGTATGACTAAAAGAATTGGTATTTTAGCCCAAGATAAACACTAAAGTGCCAGGGCTTCTCATCAGGGCATTATTGACATGTTGAGCTGGGTAACACTTTGCTATGTGGGGCTGCATGTTATAAGGTGACTACAAAGATCTCTGGCTTCTACCAGTCAAGGTTGGTGGCATCATCCCAACTCTGATCACAGCCCACATTATCTCTGGACATTGCCAGCTGCCCTAGCAGAGGTGGCTGGGGGAAAAGGGAGGGTACCACATCACCACAGCCAGAACTGCTGCAGGTGCCTAACTCGTTAACAGTGAACAGGGGGAGGAAAGCAAGAAAACGAAGCTTTTGGTCTCTTCCTTTGTTGACTGTCCCAAGCCTCCATGGATTTTAGTGTCAAACTACTCCAAGTCCACAAATTCCCACTGGGCAAACTATCAGTAAATCTTAACATAATTCCACTTTGAGCCTTAAACTAACAGCATGTGAAAAGATCAATATGAATAAGTTCAAAACTAATCAGCCCTCCTCTTTAAATGTTGACACAGTATTATTTATATCCCATAAATACATTCTTGACTAAAATTCATACTAAGAACTTGGCACCTGGCCAGTTCTATTCATATTTACCGTATTTATATAGTACACTTGGCCAAGGATAATATTTAAGACAAAATATGCCTAAGGGTATATACAATATCTCTTATATTTTTACTTTAAATCTCCACATTGCTAAAAATATTTAGTCTGAACTTTATAAAGTGTCCCACAAAGCACTATCAGCATTCTGTGATGATATATAGCTCATTGAGTATAATTAGAGCATATTTGTAATGCTTGAGCTGAAGTCACTCTCTGAACACGAATAAGTTGGTGGTTAAAAAAAACAAAACGAACCAGTGCTCTTTCCCATGCCTTCATTCCTGGGGCTCATGACCCTCGCCAGATTCACTGTAGGAAATGACAGGCATAGGTCCTGCCTGCAGCTGCCTACCTCGATGATCACCAAGTTAAAAGCTAGGCAGGAAAGTCCTAAGGGAAAGATGGTGTGGAAGCCACTTGGAATTTGCTCTTTAAAAATAAGACAGTGATTTTTTTCTTTCCTTCCTTTTCTTTGGGCGAGTTCTTCATATACTGGCATAATTCCAGAGTGCTGGACGCTGAGTTAACCTACTTTCTAGACAACAACGCACAGTTCTAATATATACAACGTGAGCTTTTTAAAGCTGGGAGTTGTTGCATGCAGACTGAAGTTATACTTTTTTCCCTGATTTAATTAGGGTGTTGGGGATAGGGTGAAAAGACAGACGGCACACTGATCTCAGCTGTCATGCTCTGAAATCCAGTGACTTGGTGAGATCCTTTAGTTTGTTAGTTAGCAAAATCCTAGGCTGGACCATCTCAGTAAAGCGTGCAGAGAAGAACAAAGAATCAAAGCCCCTGTGGGTAACCTGCAGTCTCCACATCTATGCCCTGATCAGATCAGACCTCCACTGTGTCGAAAGTCTTCAGGCTGTTTCTCTGAGCTTTTGTGTGCAAACACCTAAGGCTGAGTTACTCAGGTTCTACATAAGGGACTGGCTTGTCGGCCTGAAATCAGAACAGATACACGTGCTGCGGACAACTGACTTGGCTTCCTGCTCCATCTCAATGGTTTGGGACCAATTACAATGTACTTTCTCTCCTAATACCACCTTGGCTCCACCCCAGATAGAAAGCTTTACTGTGTATGAGGGGTAGCCAGGGAGGAGTATACCTATCCCTACTATTGTAAATAGCTCCGTAATTACAACGATATAATCCTCTAGCTTGCCGGGATGCTCTGCATCTGCTCTGCCACTGAACAAGGCCTGGAGACCCTGCAGCACAAGAGAGGTGCCCAGAGAGACCAGGGCTAGACACATGGGCAGGCATCACGAACAAGACACGGCAAGTCACAGAGCTACCACTTGTCAAACTAAAAATAAATATTAACGAAGAAGCACACTGCCCTGCCATGAGGACTTCTAGGATAAAGTTACCAAGATGGCCGTGTTGTCTATTTAGGTGAGACCCAGGGACTCCCCAGAGCCAGCCCAGAGTATATAGGGCATGGAAAGGGGTGGGGAGAAGGCAGGAGCCAATGGAAAGTTTACTGCTTGGGATTTGGAACACACAACTGTTGAAGCATTTTCACTTTTTCTTTTTTGCTGCTTCTTCCTGGTATTTAACCCCCTCAGGTGTCACTGGCTGCTATTGCAGCCTTTTTTTTTTTAAAGTCTGAAATCACTCTGCACTGTCTGCCCACCCATAAAAGAACCCCAGAATAAATCATTCTACCACCGTGGCTACTGTATGCCTGCCTGGTTTTCAGAACACTGGTCTCAGGGAAGCCAAAAGTAAGAAGAGGAGGAGGAGGAGGAGGAAGAGTAACTCAGCTATGTTGCTGTCTTAGATTTGGGGATGCACTGAAGTAACTGCTGAGAGCTCATGAAAAGGCGGAAAGCACAGAGCTCAAGCTTGAGAGAGATCACCCACAAAACCCTAAGGGGGGGAAAAACCGATCTGCTGCACCGGCGACTTTAAGAAGGCAGGTTTGGGTGGATTTCTGAAAAACTGCGAAGCAAAAACTCCTCCTGCAACACTGTCCCTTCTCTCCACTCCAGGTGAAGCCAAAGCGGGACTTGGCCACGAGATTTTTTGCCGGGGGGGGGGGGGGCGCTGGTCACAGAGACTTAGAGGTGTACAGGGTCTCTCCAGGGGTCCCCAGTCTGGCTTGGTCTCCGCGTTGCTGACATTTTTAGGGGAGTGAGAGACAATAGCGAAGGCTCGGGAACCAGCTGATCCGTCGGCGAGCGCAGGGGGCGCCTTCCGGAGAGGCTAGCTCGGAGCCACTATTTTGTTTAACCCTTGGCGCACCAGCTCGGCGGCGGGCGCGCCCCAAGCCAACCGGGGCTCTGAAAGCAGACCCCGCGAGATCCCCCACCCTCGCTTCCCTGCGCCCCAGAGAGCGCCCCTCTGACGACCAAGGCGCAAATCCCAGCAGGTGGCCCCGAAGGGGACGCCAGGGGAGCGGCCGCCGCGGGGAACGACGCCCCGGGCAGGACTGGGCGCTGGAGGAAGACAGCGAGGGAAGGAAACAGCGGACCGCGGAGGCTGGGAAGGAGCACGGGCGAAGGAGCCGGCGCGCCCGCGGGCGTGCGGCGGGAGGGGCGGGCGAGGCTGTACTCACTTTCGGAGAAGTAGGGCATGTCGATCTTGTAGACCTCCTTGGCGTAGTACTCCTCGTCGCTGCGCTCGCGCTCGCAGGCGGCGGCCCGGCGGCTCGCCTTCTCCTGCAGCAGGTCCCGCGTGCTGTTGTAAATGGAGATCACCTCCGGGGGCACCTCCTCGGGCTCGGGGAAGTCTTCCGGGGGGCTGGTGAGCTTCAGCTTGCTGAGGATCTGCCCGCGGATTGCTTCGATCCTCTTGCGCATGAACTGGTCCATGTCGAGCGAGCTGCAGGTAGACAGGGCGAGCGCCGCCGGCACCAGATGCAGGGTCAGCAACGCGCTCAGCACGCGGGAGTGCATTTTTTTTCTTAAAGATGGAAAAAGAAAGTTTTCTTTCTTTTTTTTTTTTAAGAGAAAAAAATAAAAACAAACTAGCAATTCTCAAAAGTACAGATCAGGCAGAGTTGTTGGGTTTTTTTTTTTTTTAATAGGAAACTTTGGCGAGCAATCGAAAGTCAGTGCCCAATAGAAAAAGTATCTTGCTTGATTTTCATTTAAAAAAATGCAGGTCGTTCCAAAAGTGAAAATATTAATATGCGACAGGCGTGGGGGGAAGTCTGACTTTAGGCAGTAAAAAAAGTTTTGTGAGCGACGAAACCGGGGAACAGGCGGGCGAGTGGCTACTCCGCAGGAGCGGTTCTGGGAGGAGGCGGCCAGCTCAGGGTCCTCCCGGCGCGCTGCGGATCTGAACTCCGCTCCTCCACGGCGGAGATGAAAAGGCCCGGGACTGGCGCCGCCGGGGGCGGGCGGGGCGCGGCAGGGCTGCGCAGAGCTGGGGTTCGAGTGTTTGCAGAGGAGCGCGCCGGCTGCTAGGCGAGCGAGGAGCGCACACGTGTGCGTGTGTGTGCGCGCGTGTGCGTGCGTGAGTGTGGGTGCGCGCCGCGGAAGGTAACGCGCTCGGTCCGCCCAGGGAGCTGCGCACCGCGGGGCCTATGCGGGGACCCGGTCCCGGTTCCGGTCCCGGTTCCAGGCCCGGTTCCGCCGCGCTCTCGCGCGGCCTCCTCCGCTGTTCGCGCCGCCCCGGCTGGGGACGATCCGCCTCGCCGTTGCTGTCCCCGCAGCCCTGACGTGCTGGCCGGGGCTGGAGCCTAGGGGTGCAGAGGCGTCCCGATCCCGCCCGCTCCCGGCTCGGCCCGCCTGGCTGCTTCGCCTAGGGTCGCTGGGCACTGGCCGCGCTGCAGGGCTCCCAGCGCCCTCCTGCGCCTCGCTGCGGCCGGGCGGGCGGCCCCGAGGCCGGCTCCAGAGCGGCTCCTAGACCGTTATCCCCGCGCTCCGCATCCCGGCCCGCGCCCCCGCGCCCGCGCTAGTCTCCTCCGGTCGGGAGCTCCGGGGCTCCGCTGCGCTCAGAGCGAGCCTTCTGCTGCCAGCAGATAACATCACGATCTTGCCGGGAGGAGAGATTTATAAGTTCTCTCCGAACCACGTGTTTGCCTTCAACAAAGTGACGTGCTAGGGCTGCAGTCGGAGGGAGTCCGCGCTCAGACGCGACTCTGCCGCCGCCGCGGGGTGCGGGAGGGCGCCGGCCGCAGGGCTGGGGTTGGCCCGGTGCGCTCCAGCGCCCGCTCCAGGATCCCGAGTCCCATTTGGACTTGGCCTAGGTCGAGTAGAGGCCCCCGGGATGAGTCTTCGGTTCTAGAATGGAAGCCTTCCCTGCACGCGCGCACGCACACTCTCTCTCTCACATACACACACACATACACCACGCAGGCAGGCAGGCACACCCCGGCCAGCAGCACGGGGACACCCTCTCCAGCTGATTCCGGACCTCCCTTCTTTTCTGGGGTCCCACAGCGGATTGCTGTCCTGGAATCTATTTGATTATGCTGTTGCTGACCATCGAGGCTGGCACGTGAACTGGGAGGAGTCGGAAGCCTCTGTCTGCTTGTTTCATGGTGTGAGGGATTGATGGTCACCTTCCTTTGCAGCCTGGACCGCTTTCTGTGTGGCTTTTCTCTCTGCCTTCTCCATGGGGGAGCCACTATCGACCAACTTCATCCTTTCCATCGCATACGTCCAGGAAACCAGAATTCTAAGTGTTCGATGGCTACTGTTACATATTACTCATAACTTGCCATTTTCTGCTTCCATCTACTCCAAATTTGATGGATACTACAATTATTCTTGCCATTGTTCAATTTTCCTTTTATTTCATTTTACCTGTAGTTACTCATAGGCAATATTATAATTTTAGCATGTCTCTGTGGCCATACTGACTAGACAGATGATTTAAACTGGAAACTTCTGCGATTTCCCCTAAATCCCAGGCCCACATGTTAGCCCTGATTCTAAGGTTTGGCATTCATTCTGGAGGCATGCATGGGCCCTATAGTATGAGTACCCAGAGGGCCAGAGGAATGGAAACTGATCGTGCTAATGTGCCCCGCGCACAGGACTGCGAGGTGTTTTATCACGGCCGGTATTTTGCAGAGGCAGAGACAGAGCATGAAGTTTAATGTGTTGAGACCATAGTGTGTGGCGGAGCTGGAGCTGGTCAAATAGGTTTGGGAGATACAGAGCACTGAACTGTGCCGCCTCATGGAATTTCTCTGTTTATTGGGTTAGGCTCTGAGAATGCTGCAGAGTTTTTTTTTTTTTTAACTTTTAACTTTGCAGTTCCCAAATCTCCTCAAACCTAGAGTTTTTTCCTAATTGGAAAATTCTGGAATAAATACACTGATGCACTCACCTTGTCAATGATTTGAAGATTATGTCTAAGTCAGCATCAGCAGGTCCCTTTCCTCGAGGTCAACTTCAAACTAGAGCCGCTCCTGCAGAGTCAGACAAGCAGCGGCCACGCCTCTAGAATCAGAGGCGCTATGCCAGGCTACCAGTTTCAAGGCCTCCCTCAGAGTTCTGTGCGAGAACTGCAGCCATCTACACAGAGAGGACAAAAAGGAACGCTTCGTGCACTTGGGCTGGAGGGGGCTGGAGGTGGTATCACTTCAGAACACAGCCGGTTCTACAGCTCGCTGTCAGCCTGTGCTTTAGAGACTGCACAGGTGGCAGGGACACAAAAGCACCAGAGGTCACGTGGATTAAGAGCTGGGTACAGATCCAGCAGCAAATTCATGCATCTTCCTTGCAGGAAAAGCCAGACCTGGTGACAGCCACCCACCCCCAACACTCACATCCACATTTTCATCCCTAATACTTTGTTGGACACTTAGCGCTCACTAACGCCACCCGTAGATCACAGACCTCTGACCTGGTCATAAGAGGCTTCTTTAATTTTCCCAAAGTCCAGGAGGGCAGGCCAGGGGACAGGCCTGGGTAACTCAGGACAGTGTCCTGGGTACTCTGGGGTACGTGTCCTACTGCCAGGTGAGAGGCTCTTAGTGAACACAGCCTGGGAGGAAGGTCTCCCTCTAGGTAAGTGAACCCCTTCTTCTGCTAAATAACACTTGCAAGGATTTTTCACCTCCCCTGAGGAAGTGAAACAGTCACTAAATGTATCAAGAACTTATGGGCCGGGGACTTTATAGGATGTCTGTGGTAAAGGGTAAACTATACACCCCGCCTCAGTTACCTCCTGGAGGCAGGAGACCAGTGATTATATGGCAGGCTTCCCAGGCCAGATTTCTTCTTCCAGCGTCTTGGACACTCAGTCTCATCTATGCAGCGGAGATGCTGAGACAGTACTCACTTTTACTGTTCAGAAGAGTACCTCGGGGATTAACTTACACAAAGTACACAAAATACCCAAACCTGGCTCATTAATCATACCTACCATTTTCTTATCCTAGCCCGTCACTTCTGTCCGGGAATTTATAATAAAACACACCTGGTGCCCCCTTCTTTACCAAATATAAACAGAATGAAAAAGGGAAGAAGCCAGTGAAAATCTGCTTCATGGTCATGCCTCCTAGCAGTTTCTGAGTACACGATTGCCACTTTAAAAATCTGCCAATTTGTTTAAGTATGCAGGCAAGTACAAGAAAATACTTTTGGCAAACAGAAGACTGAATGACTATCAAAGTTCAGTTAAAGCACTCAACCTTAAGGACTCTTACTATTTAAAACCCTAAAATGGGATTCTTTGTTTCCAGATCAGAGATGAAGGGGTACAGCTGTTCCAGCCCACATCCCTTCTCTACTCACTCACTGGTCTGTCCCCTTTGTGGAATTCCCATGTGAAGCTGCAAAAACAAAACAAAAACAAGACTCAGCGCTGTCCTGGAGTTTTACTCTTATGGGTCATAGCAAGAGCATGTGATCTGCTGGCTTCTTCCTTTTACCAGAGATAACTCGTTGAAACCATTCTGAAAGCTTTCCTTAAGGGTTTCCAGCATTAAAACCAAGAAGTGGGAAAAGAAATACATGAAGCCACTGTAATGGATCACACCTTTCATCAAACAGTCACATTTGATAAATGCAAAGTAACGCTTTAATAGGAAAAACACACCAAAAGGCGTTTACATTCTTACTTTATCTGACTCCACAATCCAAAAACAAAGCTTGGTCTGTGTCAGTTTTTTCTTGTGTCCTGTGTACACTTCCGTAAACAAGTTTATCTACAGAATAACAAGTGATTTATAGAATCTAGGACATTTAGAATAGTGACATGCAAAGGTTAGTGGCTTTCCTCATGAAAAGTAACCTAATAGCTGTAGGCTAACCTGAGTAAGAGCCAGTAAGGGAACAGGATGACCAATGGGTGGGGGCAAACCAGAGGACTAAGAGATCAGGCGTTATGAAAGATGGGAGACAGGGACAAGGAAAAGCGGAGCCCGTCAGGAGGTTACCAGACTTTACACAGATAAACTCAGCACATGGCAATGATCCTCTGGGGAAATACATCTCCCCTGATGGTCAGCTGATCAATTCCTGCTAATTGCTTGCCAGCCACCCCACCTCCACTTTCAACTCTGCTGTAGTTCCATCAAGGAGGCTGTCTTTGGGGTACAGATTTCGTGGCCTGAGCTGTATCATCTCCAGGATCTACTCAAATTACTGGCAGCCTCTGGCTTCTTGCCCCTGTTGAAACTCATCCACTTGGCAACTGATGAAAATAAATCAACAGAAGGGACCAGCTGTCATGGAGCCACCCTGATATATGTACACTGAATGAAAGGGAAATGCTCACGCCAACAAGGAAGCCAGCAGAGCCTTCCCTTGTCGAGGCAGTGTGGGCACCAGCCCTCCAGCCTTTGCTCCTGTTCTCTCTTCCTGGCTCCACCACACCCCACTGAGGACGATGCCAGGCGAGGTGGTGGTGGTGGAGGTGTGTGGTCAGCCAAGGAAAGATGTTAGGAATAAACTACAACTGTGTTCTTGAGGGCTACATAACCCACCATTGGTTTTGCTTTGTTTTTTTTTTTTTTTTTCCACCGTATCAGTTTTTTAAGACATAATCTTAAAAGTGTGTCAGCATCTCAGTGGGCTTCAGACTGTAGACAACTCCCAATGTGTGGACTTCCACTAGCAGTCACCAGCCAACCCACATTTCAAGTAGCATTTCCTTTCTGTTGCTTCTGTTAGCCTGCAATTTAAGTCAAAATAAAACTAAACAAGGGACAATATTTCATACACAGAAATCTTAATTTTTATGATAGGAAACACTAGTATTGCCTTGTTTTGTTTTTTGAGACAGGGTCCCGCTATGTTTATGAGGTTGTCCTTGAACTCACCTTGCAGCTGAGGCTGGCCTCAAACTTAGAGGGATCCTCCTGCCTCACTTTCTTAAGTGCTGGCTATAAAGTGTTTTTAAAAGCATGGCTGTAATGTATCATTCTGACTTATAAAACCTTGCCACAAGCTTATGATTATTTCAGGTCTTGGAAGAAAAAGTTCAAAAATGCAAAGAAAGTTCCTATAACCAGAGTGAGCACATGGGACATTACACACATCCAAACACTTTGGGGAATGAGAGGACACCATCCATAAGTATATTAAAAGAGATAAAATAAAATGACCCCAGATAGCCATTCTTGATATAAAATGCTTTAAAACCTCAATCTGTAAGAATGTATGACTTTTACTTTTTATGATTACAATGGTGATCCTGTAATTTGTAAATCCCCAAAGCTTTTCTTCTTTTACCTATTCAGCAGATTCTAACTCACATAATAGCTATACTTGGAAAATACTTCTCTGTATTTTTAGCATGGACATAAACCTATACCACTATAAACACGAAGTCTCTAAGAGGTACCTGATCAAAATTCTTCTGAGCCCACAAAGCTAACTCCCATGAGGAAAAAAAAAGGATAAATATAAAAATGGAGATGAACATTTTGTGTATTCAGATTACAGTTGGAGAAATTTTTTTATTTTGGAAAATAACAGATAAAGAATCTCAAAGATAAAACATCTGTCCCCTTTGATGGATCACATAATACGGACTTTTTACACGTGTACCTAATGGTACCTGCATTTTACAAAACTAAGGGAAACCTGAAAAGTTAACTCAATGGCATTAGAATTGTTTCTTTCTGGTAATTTTCTTGCAATTAAGATTCCTCAAGTTCATGGTTTTGCTTTAGATCATTTTAGTTATCTCTATTTCTGTTCTTTTGAGTACACAGCATCACTACAGTTCCTACGAGATGGCAAGCTAAAGGAATAAATCTAAAAGCCACTGTGACCTGAAAAAGACTTCACAACACAACAATGATCCTGAATGCCGGGTAGTAGAATAACAAGTTCCTGGTATCTGTATCTAAGAGGTCTTCATCTCCTATTTTAGTTAATTTAGGTCATTAAAAAGGAGACCCATTAAACAGGAGACCATTACAAGGTCAATTTGGTTATGGGACCAGTTGTAACAAATTTAAGTCACGGTTACAGTGACTGTTAGAAACCAGCCACTCCTTCTCACTTGTGATGAAAAAATATTTAGGCTGTCAGTGACAGCTTAAATCATGCCACGTAGAGGAATCTCAGAGCTCTAGTCAAAGAAAACCGACAGGCTCCACTTACTGATACACATTTCCATCTCGTCAAAGCACCATTTCTTATCCCTTGTCTGTGGTAAAAGTCTTTTAAAAAAATTACAACACTCAGGAATTCCACATCAAGAGTATTTTCATTGATCTATTTGTACACATAAAATAGAAATTACAACTGCACATAAATACTGTAAAGTGTGCATTTTTAGGAAACATCCTAGATCAACAGAACCTCCTAAATTAGTTTGTTACCTTTTATCTCTTAGACAACATTCTAAGCTGAAGCTTATAAAACGTAGTTTAAATATCTAAATGCCACTTAACACTTTTATGAGCCATCTAATGTAATTAACACTAATTACATGGGCAATACACTGTGAGAGTAGTAAAAACAGTAAAGAGTAGCAGCAATATATATTTTCTGTAGATAAAACTAGTGGATATCACTCCAGCGGGAGCAGTGATTACATTTCTGCAGCATCGCGAACACGTAAAGACTTAATGCTCAGGCAAACCCTACCATGAACCTTCCAACAGCATACTGCAGTCCTCCCTTATTTGTAGGGGACATGTTTCAAAACACCCTGTGGATGCTGACACTGTGGGTCGTGCCAAATCCTATGTAGAATTTGGCTTCTCATGCAGACCTGTGAATGTAAGCAGTGCAACACCAGAACAGCTGATCTGATGACCCAGCAGCTGCCCGGAGGGAGGTGGCCACACAGTGCACAGCCAGCAGCAAAGGGACGACTGGCGTCCCAGCCAGGACAGGGTATGCAGATAGACTGCAAGTGAAGATGGATGATTATTTCTAAAACTTTCCTTTTAGTATTTTTATGCCACAGTTGACTGAAGTTGCAGAAGGTGAGCCAACAGATCACTATAGACTACATTAAATCAACGAACAGAGGTTCGTACTTTAAAATAAATTTTATTAAGAAGCACTGAGAGAAAGCTGATCATGAGAAGTGAGTCACTTTTTCCATGTTTAATGTTCCTGCAGGGTAGTTAGTAAAACTTAAACAGAGTTAGGATTCTAGCAGTCTTTCAATACAGCCACCTAATGCATTTTTCTCCTAAATCCTGATAATGCTCTATTAAACATTCAGAACTTGGGTTCCAGAACAAACAAAAAAGAAGCCAAAAGCATGTCAAAATTATTTTATTCAGCATGAAACCCATCTTTTCAAACTATCAAATACCATATTTTTCAACAGCAATATGTTGCTTAAATTTAATATTCTTAAATTTACCTAACGCATTTTGGTATGTAAAATCCAGTACAACGTTGACATGTCCAGTTAGCACATCAATGATGTGTTCTCATCAGTCTTCCTGGTGATCATTTTTCTCCTGAGACCCCCCACAAAGTCCACTGTATTCTGAGCCTTCCCATGGAAACCATATGTTGTCATACCTAATTCATATGCTGGTTTCAAAAAGTTTCCAAGATTTGGGGCAGGATACATAGCTAATAAAGCTGACTTCTGAACTCAGCTGATTCTAAAATTATAATGTATTTCATATAACAATGAATATCGATAGTTCCTAAAATGCCTAATGTACACCTGATTTCTGTTATTGATCAGCAGTACATTTGAGAATCCCAGAACTCAAGAAAGGGCAGCTGTGTGTCGGGGAATCCACATATTCATAGCACTGCTTCCATTTGGGGAGACAGACCGACCCACGATGAATATTTAGGACTGTGAGCTTTAAAACACAGGTAAGAGAACCCAAGGATACTGTACAAAGACAAGCATCATGGTGTGGAAACAGCTCTGAGTCTATGCCTGCTACTGCTCAGTATAGTACTGACAAGCAGCAAGCCTGTGTTGGCTGCCTCTCTGGTATTCCCAGAGCTGACAAGCGACCCACCGGTCATGTCCTTTCCAAGGGAAGGGATGTGTCTTTACCTACGATTGAAGTCTGGTTCTGTGAGAGCAAGGAGGCGACTGTCTGGTGGCCCCGGGGCAGATCAACAGCTGCAGGGCCACCCATGCACAGGGACACGGTTCTCACTCAGCTGTCTCTCCGCTCAGAGGCCCAGAAGTCTTGACCCCTTCCAAATCTGGTGTTCTTGCTTTGATGTTTATGAACGGACGGCATTAAAGATGCAGGATAATGATTCAGGGGTTAGAGAAACTGTTATTCAGACAAATGTGGTTAGCAACTCATCATTTTAAATGGGCTATGCTAATTGCACTCATTGTGTTCTTTGTTTCTTATTTTTTTCTCTAAATCTCCAACCTATGTTTGCTCTGGCATTATGTCATATATACTGGGTTAGAATCAAACTCTTGGACAGGACAGGGTCCTCCATGTAAAGGCACTTCCTCAGGCCACCTCCTCCTCAAACAGGGAGCTCACAACTCAAGTCCAAGTACGGAATTCGTCCCTTGGAGGGGCCTGGCACTGTGGCAGAGCAGGGCACAATACACTCCTTAGGTGCTTCACAAACCTGCGCTTTGGAGCAGAGATAAGATCTGAAGTCCGGTGCATTAATTCTAAGAACTTTAAATAGTTATGCTGAGTCAAATATTATTTGTTAAGTGGCCCAACCCAGGATACTACAGTTTGATTACAATATATGGTCAAAAACAAGAGGAATGATCCAATCAATAAAATTATACCACTATACACAGATGCCTAGGAAACTGTATTCACATAAGCTCATGGGAAAAGCTCAGGACATATCTGTGATTCCAAACTTCACTATTTTAATATGCTGTCACTGTACTCTCTTTAGAGTCAGGATGGACCCATAACCACAGGTAGCTTTTAAAACACTAAACAATTAGGGAACATTAAAGATATGGTTCCTCAATATCCCTCCCAGTGCGAGGCTGACTCAACAGCAAGCTGCACTGGACAGCACTGGCCAGGATGGTAAGAAGCGATGCCCACATCCCCGCGCATCGAACAGAAAGCCAACTAAGGGCCCCAGTGGCTGAGGGACAGGATGGTGAGTGACCTCTGACAGGACGTTCTAGCGAAGTAAAGTGAAATCTGAGTGCGTTCACCACACTTCTACCTCAGCGAGTCCTAAACTCAGCTCCCTAAATTATGTTTAGTAAGCAGGAATAAAAACATTAATGTGGTTCTCTAAGCTAGTGAACAGTCTCTAAAATATCTTAAAATTAATTGAATTCAGTTAGAATGTGTCTCCTATCTATAATTCTGATTAGATTCAGTACAGCTCAGCGTTCTGTTTAAACACCAGACACATTCTGAGCTTCTTACCACCCACTCTGAACAGTGTCCTCCTTCTTAACCTGCATTCAGCTGAATACAGAAAAGCCCACCTGGTGGAAACACTTCTCAGGCCAACCGTGGCGGCAGCAGTCCCTAAGACTCATCTACTCTGCTGGCCAAAACTCAGACTCCTGTTTTCTTGGAGGAGGAATGAGAGAGCTTTCTGTGGGCACCGAGAAGTTCTCTCTCCTGCTTCCAGAATTTGTTCTCACTGCCAACTCACCTCAAATAGTCTTCGTACTCGTAACACCTGTGGAGCTGGGCAGGCTCCTCTAGCTGCCTGACACTGGGGGCAGAGACGAAGCCCCGTCCTACCCATCGGAGGAGATGACCTGAGAAACCGTGGCGGGGGATCTGCGTCTGTGACTGGAAGACCAGCACTAACACAGCAAGAGCCCGGGCAGCTATCACAGTCACGGCTCCAGACAAGAGTGCTTACTCCAGGGCCCTTATAAATATTCCATCTACATCCAAGTATAGTAGCTTTATAGGGTATCTTTCAGCAAAGAATTTTTAAAGTGCTAGTAGACAGCTGATTTATTTCAAGTTATCATGATTTACCTAAACTGTAATACTATTCAAATTGGACGGTGAATACTTTCTGTAGGGCTTTAATGAGGAGTTTCAACTTTTTGCTCCTTATAGAAGTATAATGATCCCCTCTTTGCTATAAATAAAATGAATAATTCTAGAGAGTTCCTAGAATGCATTCTCAGTAAATGCTATCTAAATGTCTAAGTTTGCATTCTGTTAAGATACATAAAGTAATGGTACTCTGTAGCCATTAAAAATCTCAAAAAATAAAAATTCTTTTGATTCCCTTATGAAATATATGGTAATAAAAATCTGTATTATAGGTTTCTATAAAAGTTATACACACAAACATAGTTATCTATAAAATAAGTACATGTATCAATAAAAATCTGTAATAACAATAACCAAACATAAGAATATACATATAAAGAAAAGCTGTCCAAAGGATGCAAAGTACCATGTTTTTTGAGCAGCTGTCTTTCCTATGGGACACTTGTCCTCCTTGAAGGCTGCAATTCAGGCATTTTCTCCGACCTTTCCGTTCCCTTAGCTCTTCGGCAACAAGGTTTGTATTTCCTGGGTCTTCATTTGTCTGCTTGCACCTCAGCCTCCCGCCTTCTCTGCTATCATGTTTTACTAGGGCATCCTTTGGCCTCTATAAACTGGAACCCGACGGCTCCGTAAGAGGCACTGCTGCACGTGGCCTAAAGACCAGTACAGGCAGGATTAGGCTGGGTGGCGGCCAAGGACTATTAAAGATACCATATGTGCGAGACACACAGTCTAGAAGGCGTCAAGGGGCTTCCCAGAATTTAAACATCTCTTTCTTTCTTCACCCTCTGCTTCAAAAGATAGAGAATACTACGAACTTGGACTTGCCCTCAAGTAAGCCTTCTAGTACTCCCAGGGAGCAGTGTTACACTCCCAGCCCTGGAGGGAAGCCCCTGAATGATTCCATCCTGGGAGTTTTAAAGGCGTATTTTGGAATCAGTAAATCTTCAGCAATGAAGAATTCTAGGTGCCCTGAAAATAAAGCCAGTACTCCAATTCTAGGCTGAAGTGTCAAACTACCATGATGATTCTAAATTTTTTTCAGTCTTAAACATGCATTTCCAATCCCAAAGCTTTAAAATGAGTGAGCTAAATTATACTGGATACTGAGAACATTCATCCCAGCCACCCACATTTCTAGACAATAGAATAAAGAAATACATTTATGTTGCTGGGGTTTCTTTCAATACTTTTTTTCTAAATAAAATAGCTTTTTTACTACATTAATCTAACTGGTTACCATAAATAATACTCTAATGTTACTTTTAGATAAATTACTTGGGAGAGAAATGGGATGCAATTTCTCTTTACAGAACTGAAAAGCAATGAAGAAAAAAGGAATAGACAGAGTTCTTCATCAGACTGATGTCAGAAAAATTTAAATGTCATATGTACAGTATTTAGGATAGAGGTTAACAGAAATAAATTGAGACATTCATTTAAAGATGTGTATTTAGTTTCTGAACTAATACGTTCATCCTTAGAGTCATGTAAGTTTTTGCTTAAACATTTTGGAGTCAAAGTGTAGGAATATTACTAGAAGGCATGTGAACTTTATGGTACAAATTCATAGCCTTCTGACACAAATGATACCCTCACCTCTTCTATAAGAGGGACCAACTGGCAACCCAGTTTTATTTTGTAATAAAATCATTCCTGAAAGAAGAATATCTGAAAATATTCTCTTTCTTATTTTCAATCTGAAAATCTTTTTCAATCTTCCTAATTCAAATGAAGGACTATAAAACAGAAGTATGTTTTAAAACTATTTTCTAGTCGACAAGAAGTTATTACTCATTTTTATCACTGAAAAATTTTGCAAAACTGTAATATGATCAAAGACAGTATGTGTTAACTTACACTGAAATATTTATCTACATGAAGTTGTTTCAGGCTATTTAACACGGTAACACATTCCTGTACTGTACTTGTTCACATTTATTTATATTAAAATTGCAAAATGGCGGTTCTGTAATTTAATAAGACACTAATGCTCAAGAGCTAGGGTAAATTTAAAAATGCATTTCAGGGTTTGCTGTTTTAATCATCTGATATCTTAAGTATATACCATTTTTTATGATAACAAACACCAGGCCATGGGCTAATTTAACTTCAGTCACATAATAATGTGACACTCAGATGGGCTGGGAAACGTAAACAGGTCCACTCCAGCACACTGTCTAGGGGAGGGGCACCCTTCAGTGCAGCAGATGCAAGCGTCAGGTCAGGCAGGGGCCGGCCTGGAGAGGAGGGCAGGCGGGGGAGCCTTGCAGTCAGGAGCAGATCACACTCACTGAGTATCACCCTCACTGAGGAGTTCCCAGGTAAGCCTCACACTCTGGGCAGAGTTCCCCAGACACTCTGGAATTACCCCAGGCAGCCTAAGTTCTCTTCTCTTTTTGTTTAACTAAAGGAGATTCAATTTAGTAACTTTTAAGGCACCAATACGAAAGCAAGTCTGAAATTAGACCCACTATCAGAAGCAGATCAGATGAAAACCCTGATGTGAATGAGGTACAAGAGCTGATGTAGAGTATTTGTTTTCTGACTGCATCACTTCCCTGGTTGGATCACCCAAAAAGAGAATTTAAGCACAGTCAATTATTTCAAGGCAAAACAGTCTAAAATCCCAATTCTCCCATGTAAAAATAACCTAACACTTAACACTATTAATCATTACATTGCTAGGTTCAGTACAGAAAAGGAAGTAATATCCTAACAGGCATACAGCTAATCAAAAATTAAAATCAACACCCCAAATCAGAAATACGATAATTTAAAACTTTATAGGTTTTCTCAACAGTTTACTAAACCAAAAGAATGATACCAATCATTCCAACAAACTGCAGACATACACATCTAGGAGCTGGAAGGCAGAGAAACATTAACTTCCAAAGGCCATTTTAATGAAGACTGGTGCCACACTTCCGGATAAATCAGTGACCCTAAAAGTATACCAATGTCCTGGCCAAGGACAACACTCCACGACCCCAGCAAAGTTAAGATCTTCAGGTCAAGCAGAAACGATTCTTTTCACAAATGTTTGGAGGACAGTTATCTAAGGGTTAAAAATACCGTAATTTGAGAAAGTTTACGTGAACACTGGGAACCCCAAGTTCGGTAAAGTTCCAGCTCACGGACCCGCAGGCTCCTGCACCGCAGAGGACACAGCACGCGTGTCCACCGCCTCCCTCATGCCTCGGAGTCAGGCGCGGGCCCGGGCCTGTCCTCGTCGGGGCCGTCGCTCTCCTTGTCCCAGTCCTTCATGGAGGCGCCCATCATGAAGTCGTCCCGAAGGATGCTCCAGCTGGGGTCCTCTGCTGACTTCACTTCAGTCTGGGGAAAGCAACAGAAGCAACAGACACCCTGAGAAATCAACTTAGCCACAGGGAAATAAAAAGGCCCAAGCTACAAACACACTTTCCAGCACTTAGTTCTAAGACACAGGTAAAACCAACGTGAGGTCTGAACTGCCTTCATTTTTTACCCTAACTATGCATAAACATCTAATAAAGGGTTGCACATTAACACAATATTTTACCAACCTCATAAAATTCAAGAACTTCAAAATGGGGGGATACTAAAATCTATCATTCCTCCAGTCTCTGAGAACCAAAACAAACTTACAGTAGTATTTAAACTTCAGTGATAACTCATTTGGAAGTAATATAGACAGAAACTGAACAAATATTTTTAACCCAAAATAAAAGAGAGACAAGGAAATCAATCCTGGTACACTGCTAGGACAGCATCTAATTTAATTAACATTTTGTAAAAGATCTGAACCAAACCTTCTTTAGAACATATTATATCACTGATCCAATCACATAATGAAGGCCTAGTGACATGCTAAGATTATAAATAACTGAAGCAGAAAATTACATAATAGGGAATCACCTGATTTCCTCCCTGCAGTCACAGAACTGATGGAACACCTCAGAGAGCCCACGAACTACAGGCCTCTGTTCCATGGTACAGCAGTGCCACCTGGTGGTGGTGAGAAAGCACCTAAGACTCCTTAGCAGCTTGAAAACCTGTTACTTTTATGATATGGCTATCCGCCATGAGAAAACAATTTTAAAGAAAAATGTATTAAAGATATGCTAGGTTGCAAGGGATTGCTTACTCAACTGCTGAAGTCTCCTTTTACTTAAAATGGCACAGCCCTAAAATACTCGTTACATATTAAGGATGTTTGTAAAAGAACACCAGTACAGCAGAAACAATGAAAACCCACTGCTTCCCTCCTGTGTGCCTTGGGCAAGGGTTCAAGCAAAGTCTGTGCCTAGGTCTGACCGAGAGATGGCACACAGATGGGAGACGATTCTCAGCACACTCTGTGCTCTGATGTAACCAACATGGGGAAACAAAACCCAGCTGTACCACCTAAATCCAAGAAGTCCTAATGCTTCGCAAGCCAAGTGGGCAGGAGACAGTGAAGCAGGAAGGGCCCTGAGCACTCTCCCTCCTCTCAGTCCTCTGCTTCTCCAGGGCCACACCCACCCTCCTGAAACTGAAACTTCGCTTCCACCAGAGTAAGCTGTCTCACTGCATAAGAGGTCATTTTCTGATTCATGTTTTGTCAATCTCTTCACCTTGAATCAAAGAAACAGGTGGTTCCAATAACCACATAGCCACTAAACCTAGCAATAATAATGCCTCTTTGTCAAACTGACAGCCGCGAGCTTTACATTAAATTCTGACAAGTGTGCAGCCATATCTGAGTACTGACTAGCAAAGACCTGTCCTGGCCTTGACACCTGTGTTTCCGCTCGCACACATGCGATCTGGGATTCAGCACACCATGGTCCAGGCACTAGCCGATACCTACCCAGGCCAGCCACTGTGCAGAGGCTGCCCGAGCTGCCTGCAGGGTTTCCCGTGTGTGAGGCCCAGACCAGAAAAGCCCTGGGGGAGGGAAGGAGAGAACACTGACAAGACTCCAAACATGCAGCTCAGAAACAAGGTAACTGGACGGAGTGGCGCATGACCATAACGCCAGCACTAGGGAGGCTGAGGGAGGATCACTGAGTTTGAGGCCAGTCTGCACTACAAAGTGAGTTGAAAGCCAGCCTGAACCACATAGCGAGATCTTGTCTCAGAGAGACCAAAAAAAAGTATAGACCACAGACTTTCAGAGATGAGACCGACACCCCCACTACGTCTGTTCCCAAAGACAATTGTTGTAACCTTCTGTTTTAAGCATTGAGAACAATACCAGAATAAACTCAAAGTTTCTCTCAATTATCCAATTTGAAAGCTTAAAGCTCAGTAGGGCTTTACATTGGGATTTTGGTGATGTTCTTATTTTTATTTTTAAGATGATCAACACCACCTATGACCACTGATCCTTAAAATATGATCCCTAGGCTAACAGTATCACTTGGAAACTTATTAGAAACTAGTGATTCACAATCCATTCCAGGCCTACTGAGTCAGAAACTCCAGGGGGCTGGGCGCAGCAATCTGTTTTTACAAGCTATCTGGCAACTTGATGCACGCTGCAGACCAAGAAGCTCCAGCTATAAAAGGACAAGTATTTCTTAGTGACAGTTATTTGTTCACTGCTCTAAGACCAAGAGCACTTTATGGCCCAGAGGGAAAGATTTCAGAAAATCCAATTAGATTCTGGAAATCCAGTGCTAGGCTCAGCTCTGTCCGCCTTCAGAACAGCCATGGCTCAAGCTGTCACACAGAGGTCTTTCCACACTGGGAAGCACAACGTGGAGAAAAAGCAGGCAACAGAAAACTTAGAGCAAACAGGAGTGGCAAACATTAGAACGGGTATTCTACAGCTGTCAACGTGAGGACTCAAGAACGAACTTTGTTCTAAGGATGAAAGAATAACCTTTTAATCTCCACAAGGGCTGAAGAAACAGGTAATTTTCAAAAAGAAGGCAGGGGGCCCTTCTGACGAAGTGCAAACATAAACCATCAACGGCAACCCTCAGTAGAAACACAAGAGAGTAACTGCTCCCTTTAAAGTCCACCCTGCAATGACCAGTTCCAAGAGGCCACAGCAGGCTGCGCCAGCAGGGAAGGCGTAGGAGCCAGCGAGGCGAGGTGCAGAGAAGTGCCCTGCGTAGCGGAGGCCCTGGACTCCATCCCCACAGCGCTGGGACTCCGCAACGGGCAGGATGAGCGCGGGAAACTGGGCCAGGCTGGGAAGGGTGCGTCCTGAGACTGGCCCAGCTCTGCACGGTGCAGAAAAGCAAGGAAAAGCTGCAGGGACCTGACCACCGCAGGGGAGCCAGGAGCTGCTGGCAGACATGGCACGGCTCAAAAGCAAAACCTGGATGGCGTCGGACACATAGCCCGGAGAGCAAGCCTGCTGCCTCTGACACGGGGCTCCTGACCTGCTGCAGGGAGACTTTTTCTGTCGGTAAAGGGCTCCACAGAAAATCCATCGATCAACCGCTAGTAAAAGCCCACCCAGAGAGCCCTGCAGTGAAGCTTGAAGCTTACAGTGGCAACGCCCACAGGTTCAAAGCCCCTAGGGGCAGCTTTGGGGCTTCTGGGTCCAATCAGGAGTAAGCAACTAAGGGTTGTCAGAAAGAAGCTGGTGAACAACAAAAACAGAAAAGCAACTTACAGGAAAAAGAAATGATTCAAAGAAAAAAATGAGGGGGAAAAATTATTACAAAAAGACAAAAGAAACGTTAAATAAAATCTGAAATTAAAAACACAGCAGAAATTAAAAACCTGACACAAAGGTATTAAATCAGCTCATAAGACGGTGACTGACAGGACCTACATAAAAAGGAACGTGGGGCTGTTAGAGTTTAGATCTAGGGCGTCCCCGTGGTTCAGGGCGGGCTCCTGGAGTGCGAGTGACCGCTTTAGGAGGCCACCACCTCAGTGGTCCGTGGACGGACCCGAGGTCGATGGGCTGTCCGAGCCTGACCCCTGGGCTGTGGGCGGAGACTGCGCCTCTCTCTCCAGTTCGCTGCACTTCCTGGCTGCTGTGATTAAACAGTTTTCCTCCACCATGACCTTCCAGCAGAGCACGGAGGGAATCTCCTGAACTGTGAACCAAAGCACACTTCTCTTCCTTAAGTTGTGGGCATCAGACATTCCGTCATGGGGAAGTGACTGAAGCAGAGATGAAAGGCTGAATATACGAACAGCAGCAGTTCTACAGAAGAACATGGATGGAAGGACATTAATGACGGAATGAGTCCGGAAAATTCCCCAAATTGAAGAAGGGCAACCATTTCCAGGTTACACAGGACCCAAGTGAGTCCCCAAGACACGAAATAAAAACCAAGGACATCACTGTAAAAGTTCCAGACAATGGGAACTCAAAGAACAAGCCATGAGCTTCCAGGAAGAAGACAAGCAAGTCAGTCACATATATACAGAGGCTCAGAAATCAGAGTACACTCAGATTTTCCAAGAGCAGCCCTAACAGAGGCAACCAAGAAGCAAGTACTTTCAAAGAAAACAATTTCCAAGTTAAAGTTCAAGAACTCACGACATTACTTTTCAAGTATAAGGAGAGAACAGGACTTTTCAGCCATGGGAGAGCCCCAGAAGTTTACATTCCACGTAGCCTTTCTCAGGAAAGCTGCTGAGGGTGTTCACCCCCCCCCAAAAATGGAGCAAGACAAAAAGAAAAGGCACGGCACTGAAAAACAGAAAATGGAACACAGGAAAGAGAAGCATCAGAGTGAAGGGCATTCCTCAGCCTGGTCAGCCCTCAGACCCTGGTCCAACTGGACAAACCCTCAGGCATGTGCTGCTTCAACAGCGGAGTCTTCAGAGAAAAGAGAAAACAAAAGCCAGGAAATGGCAATCAACCAGAAGAAAGCACAAAGATCACAGTAATGTAAATCCCCAAATGAAACCACGGCATAACCTGAGAAAGCAAGCAGCTCAGGCAAATGAGGAGCTTTGAGGAGCTAATGTCTCAGAGAAAATAATTTTAATATGTGTACCAAAGGTAATTTGATTTTGAAAAGTGAAATACACCATGGAAATTAAGTGTGAAAACAGCAATCATTACCTGATGAAAAAACATAAAATAGAACACACATGCAGAATATTCTAACACTTTGCTATAAATAATACTTGGATAGGTACACTAAGTGCTGGGCACAATTAATAATAACTGTAAACAATTACTTAAAAATATTTAAAAATCACTGTAAAATACTGAGATGAGAGGAAGCAGATGGTGTATAAGAACAAAATCTTTGTCCACCCTAATAAGAAGTCAAGAAATCAGTGAAATCCATAGCTCCTAAATTATGGTCACATATATATTAGTTAGGGGGAAAAAAAAAAAAAAAGAGTCCTGGCCCAGATAACAGTTGGCAGTGTCATCTGAAATTAGG